AACATGTTTTTATGCATTTAAATCTCGTTGAGAATACTAATGCATCTTTCTGAAACAGTTTAGTTCCAAAAACAATAAATTTTAAACCAGCACCAAGTCTTTTGTTGTCATCACCGGCACAATGTATCACGTGAAAATATTGCGTCCCTGATTGGATCCAGCCGCTTCAAATGTCTTCGAATTGCTCCGAGTTGCTCGCTTGTTTCGAGCCGAACCTGATCTCCGCAATTCATGTCGATCTAGGGAAAGCTAGGGAACAACCCGCCAGCAACACCAAAATTGCTGAGAAAGTTGCTCCGTCTGAAGCGGGCCTCACGCACTCACCACCCTCACGCACTCATGGCCTTCATGCCACTCACCGCCCCGACGCCCCTCACACAGTCATGGCCCTCACACCCCTCACACACTCACCGCCCTCACGGTCCTTAAAGACCTCACGGCCGACACTCACCCTCACACTCATGAATTTTCTTCGTTCAGAAACTCACTCACCCAAACTCCCAAACCAACAAACTCACCAAAGCAAGTGAGGGCCCTCATGAGTGAGGTTTGCCGAGGTATGACTACAACTTATGCGGTGTGAAACACACACAGTGCACCCAAAGTTTGCGACGCATAAAACACTGGCATGTCCGCAAATGACGTCACATGCAAGCTACGTATAAAACAATTTGTCATAAGTTGGAGGCATGCTGACGTCAATTACCATTTTGCCCCTAAAATAGTGTCTTTTAAAATTACTGTCAGAATAAGGATGCCAATCAGTGAGAAAATTGTTCTTTACACCAAGAAAGAACCGATTCTCACCAAAGATCGCTATAAAGTGTTCTATCTCGCCAAAAATGGTGTCCCTAAAAAAAAGTAAAGGATTTAGAAGAACCGATCGTCCTGGAAAATTGTGTTCTCGTTCGGCAGTGAAAGAGCAGAAAATGTTTTTCAAGCAAAGCAAAAACGTAAAAGTCACAAGAAAGTAGCAGCCTCCTCGACAAGTGAAACATGGCGCGTGTGTGCATTTTTTTTTTTTCTTGACAGTTGGCAAGTGTGTGATTCAGAGCACAGTTGCAGGTTCGTGTTTAAAACTGAAGCCAGTGTTGCCATTATTGAATACTGCTCTATTTTCCCAGTGGTGTACTCGCACTACCATGTGAATAAGAGTACTTTGCTGTGGTGAATGACCACAGTTCTTTTCCCACTTTTTTGTTTGGCCTAAATAAAATGATACAATGTTATTGTTGTCTATTATTAATTTTTATGGTTAGAAAATTTGAGTCTGCTTGAAATGGGGTTTACGAAACCAAAAGAAAAAAATATTAAAATCTCCTTCCTTCTGAGCGCATCTTCTGGGCAGAGTATTGCAGACTCCCGCGACACCCTCGTAACTACAATCATCCTTCCAGCGATCCAAGTGTCTCTGGAAGGATGACTGCTCGTAATGTAGATATGATCAAACCAAACACAATAAAATTATTTTTACCGTATTCTGACTCAGAGTTAGTATTTGTACCAAGATAAGCAAACAACTTATAAAGCACTATCCAGACACCTTTTTTTTTTTCTCATTCAAGCTTGATTTGATATAACATGAACGCTCAAATTGCCAGTAGGATGCAGTTCCAAATTTTGAAGATGCGATTTAAATGCCGAGGCATTGTCCGTGAATGTGAATATAAGAACATTGCGGATGCGGACACAAAGTCTGCAGATGTGAATCTTGATCAAACTGCTATCCGTGCAGGGCTCTACTCACAAACCAATGTCCACACTAAAACGATTTATGCTACGACCAAAAGATTGTGTCATCAAGAAAAAGCACAGGGCATGTTTTGTACGCACTGTGCCCCGCCACACGTCGGTGAAACGAAGATCTCTTTGGAACGAATCCACCAGCACAAGAACGATGTGCAAAAGTCCGACGGCAAGCGCAGCGTCACCACTGAACACTGCGAGGTCCTCAACCATCAGATTGACAACGCGAACGCGCACGTGATCAACGCGGAGCCTCATTTTTGTAAACGGCATTTCCTGAAATCGTGGCACATCCAGTACACTCCCAGCAATTTAAAACAAGTCCCTGGGTCCCCTGCCATCTGTGCAAACCCAAGGCCTACGCCATTTAACAAAAACTATTAATGATAGACCGCCTCTGTAGAAAAGCGTTGTTCTTTGCAGACAAATGCGACGAGAGCTGCTGCCGCTGCTCTGTGCGATTCATTCACCCCCAAAGAAGAAACCAGGCAGGTTTCGAAACGTCAAGTTACCTTTTTAGGGCTTTGGTTGGAGTATTTTCTTTTTATTACTATGGAGAACATAAACAATCGAGTTTACAGGCAGTATGATGCGTAAACACCGAGCTTGGAGCAAAACAAGCTGGAAAAGCATCCCGTACAATTCAATCCTTTCACCAAAACACCACCGCACTGCTGTGTGCATTTTTCCACACCACACACCACGTCTGGGCTGTGTGGGCACTGCCTGTGCGCAGGAACCAGACCCACATCAAGTGATCTCTGCGCTTTGCAGTTATGCTTGCAATGACAGCAAGCATGCACTAGACTCCTTCGACGCCGTCGAGACTACTGTTCATGGCAGACGATAAGCAGAGACCTACGGACTGTTTAGAAACAAATCCGCATTTAGCCGCACCGTGTCGGCCATACGCGTGCAAAGGAACCAGATCCAAGTGTTGGTGTGTAGCCACAGCCGTCCACTCACCGGGGGGCAGGGACTGTTTGAGCTTCTCCGCCTTCTCCTTCTCGGTGACGACGATTGTGTACAGGTATTTGCTGCAGCGCACCTTGAACTTGGTCACATTGTCCGGGTTCTTCTTGATCTTAACCGCTGCACAGAGGAGAACGGGCATTGTTAAACCCTACCTACCAGAATGTCGTACTTTCTGGGCTGTAGTCAGCAGACCATACATGTTTAAAAGTTGCAATTCCCAGCTGTGCAGACTATACAGGAAATTTATTTTTCAAGATTGTTCACTGTGATGAGACGTGATGGAATTTATGAACTAAAGAGTATGTTAATGATGATTTATGTATAATACAAGCTTGTTTGTGAGCTAAGAAAGCAGACGTCTGTCAAGGTGCGCCATGTATGAGATTTTCCTGTCAAGTAAGCACCAGGTGCAGACTATCTAAGGAAACACTTTTTTTTGGCCCTGCAGACTACACACCAGGTGCGGACTATAGCCCAGAAAATACGGTACCAGTACTGTCACAATCAGCATGAGAGTGAACTATGTGCCTTCCAATGACACTAATACTACACCGGTCAACAAGCTGCGACTCTAACACGACAACAATTGTGCAAGATAAAATACTTTGTGCACCGCTAAGCTGACAGGGAGGTGGGTGCTATGCACATGCCAGACCAATCAGACCACCTTCCTTCCATCACCCGACCTTGTTCCGTGTGTTGGTACAGAGCCGTTTATTGGGTTAGAGCATAAACTAAAAGTGCAACGCAGTGTCGACCAATAAGCAGACCTCGATGTCACAATATTGAAAACGACAGTTAAAGCGAAAATAGAAGCGTTTGATTCGATCTCGCAGCAGCAATGATCGCAGCTATGCAGTTTGCTCTGGTTTGGAGCGCACGTTTGTTTATTGTACCATTGAGTATGGATGTGACGAGAACCTCACATGCACCAAGCTTTCAGACATCAAGAGTTGCACCTTTTTACTCTAGCGACACTAAAACGGCTTAAATTTGTGGAGCTGCATTTTTAGAGCTCACGGCCACCACTAGGGGTTGTTTCCCGGCCTGTGGTTGGCCACGAAATGCTCGCCTATTCAAACCAATGAATGACAAAACCCTCCGAATACACGGCTCGGCGTTGGTATGAGAAAAAGCGCCATCACATGGCGAATGATTGATATATGACTAGAGCTCATAGTTCTCACTGCCCTACTAGCTTAGGGGCGATTGGAGAACAGACTGTCATACTTTCCTGACCAAGCATTTCACATGCATATCACTCGTAACTTTACTTGGCAATGGTGCAGTAAAAAGTCGCGATCGTGTTCATGCCCCATGTGTACGGAATGTCAACACTTGGTGAACTTGCGAACTGTTCTTCATAGCTTGTCAAGCTATCCACTCAATCCACGCAAAGTGAAACAATCTAAAACCGTTCTGGTTTATATATCCCCCGCTAAGCTATTATATCCATTTCGAGTAATCGATCTCAATGGATCCGAGATCTAGCACGAAGACATCTTGCCATGGTCGGACACGAACGCGTTAACAAACAAGATGCGATGTCAGACTCACACTTGGCATCCTTTCGCCTCGCCGTGAGAAGGAACTCCTTGATTTCTTTGAGTTGCTTGGGCTGAAGAAAGGAACGTACAGAACGTGAGTAACCCAACAAATTGACCTCACTATGCGTACGCCGTGAAAATGAAGCAGTCCTTCGCGTACTTATCCGCCACCATTCACGCAGACGTTCTCAAAGCTAATGATGAAAGTTACTAAAACACAAAACAGGCGTGACAAACGTCGGTAATTACTGTGATTACAGTGACGCGCGTACGTTTACAATGAAATACGCGTAGAACGATCTAACATGTCCATGCAAACGGCTGCAGAGATGCAGTGCGAAAAGCACGCAGAACTTACCATGGTGATCTGTTCCCTCCGGACCTGAAACAAAAGAAATAATTGGTTTACTATATTAGCTGACTCGTATATTCACGTCTAGAGCGACCTATTTGGTCTTTAAGTAGGAGAAATATTCGATTTAATCCGATTGAGAAAAAGGCACCGACTCACCCGCAAAACACTAATGGCGGCTCCTTACCGAAAAGGATCTTGGGAAGGAGAACGAATATCGAACTCGAGTTTCGTAACAAAAAAAATCAATTAGAATAGATAGGCAAGAAACACATCGTCACTTTAAACTGTTTAAAAAATATTATTTTTTATTTTAATTTTTAAATTTGAAGCAAACAATATCTGTTCATTTAGCACGCGAAACCGAAACCTAATCAAGAGTTACTCTACTTCACTGCTCATTGCATTAACAACATTTGAAATATGCAATAACAAAATAAGGCAAGCAAACGTCACCAAAGACGAAAGTACGCTCATTTACGGCCATCTCGAGTTATCAGCTCAGCCTCGCACCTGCGAGACGTAACAAAAGAACGAACGCACACATGTCTTGAGGGAAAAGTGGGCGAGCGTCGAGGCGGTGGTGGGTTGCTGTGTCGCTGTGTCACGCGCCTGGTTTGTTTGCAGATGGATTTGTTCGGGTAATTAGCCGAGGCGATAATGCCCGTAATACGGCGGACCGAGCAGCTGGCTCATCTGGGCAGTGACGAAGAGAGGAGACCGCTCTTCGAGTCTGAACAGTTCCCCTCCGCGTCGGGAGTAAGCGAAGCTCTTTTTCACTCTGTCCGACAAAAGAACAGTTCAAAAACTCACGACCTTATTTTTGAAGCTTGTCAACTTTCGCGCTCTAAGTGCAGTGCCAGGGCACTGTTCATTCATATATTCTATGCCCGGTAATTGAGCAGTTGATCACTTTTGGGATTGTTGGGCAGTGTCGTTTCGCGGGACAAAGATCGCCCCAACAACTTGGCTGATGACTCATCAGCCAAGTCAGCGCAATAAGCGATCTGTTGATCGCATTTCGCGCTGAGCTTTGACTTTGGTTCTCGGCTTTCTTATTTGTTTCGCTATTTTATAGGGTTTCTGCCACAAGGACATATCAGCGGGCAGAAAATCTATGAAATAAAGGCGCTCTCAGCCAGTCAGTCGATATCGTTCGTTTAAAAGCCGTATGCTCGTGGCGATGAGTCGTGACAGCGATGTAGTAGATGTTATAAGTGTTTGAACAGGAAGTGTGCGAATTTTCCCAGATATATTTGTTGGCCCGTCCAAAAGCTCAGCCATTTCCTTACACACAAAGGCTCGCTGTTTTAAATATTGGAACACCCACACAAACGCTTAAAAAGTAAGGAGTTGGTTTTCATAGAACTTGACGTAAGATGAGATTGTGCGTCCCTCATTGAACTCAAAAGTGAGATTCCACTTTTGCAGGTATAGGCGAAACCAAACTAACGCAAGTGCTGTGCAAGTGACAACGATGACAACTGCGTGGGTGCAGTACAGAATAGAACTGTGTACTGAAGCAGCAAAGGGTGTTCGCTCAGAAGTCTCACTACAAGGCCTGTTTTTGCACTTTGATCAGCCTTCATGTACCTATTTGCGAAGAGTTGGTGTTCATCACTCTATTAATTAATCCGCAGTCTATTCGTTCTCCAGAAAACATGCAGTGGAGTGTATTGACACACCTGTCGGCAAACTGAGCGTCATCACAGTCATATCACTTTGGAACTAGAGGCTTCTTTTTCTTAGTTTATGACAGTCTGACGTCATTCTGCAATTTCCGTGGTTCCTCCAGAATAGCGCTCCAGTAAGGTGAGTCGCAGTGTCCGTGTTTCATTGAAGTTGGATGGCATTCAAGGGCAAGGGTAGTGGCGGCAGCAACACCTCTCAATTTTTTCTCCGTTATGTTGGTTAGCACAACCCAAGCACACATTGATTGAGAAATTCATTAACAAATTGCCCGTTGATGAATGTTTATTGATCACACAGTGTCCAGATGTATGGTGCACTTTTATCGTATTATTATTTTTGCTGTGAAAGTGTCATAAGTATGCAAGTCTTACAAGCTGGAACTGCAAGTGGCATCTACCCAGCCATAGTAACATAGTCATAAAGAGCCCAAAGTTTGAAATGTTTATTTTCCTATTTGTTCTTTTTTTAATAATAGAGGTATTTTTATGCATGTTAGTTTGATGGGGTTTGACCGTCAATCAAGTGGTAGGAAGCAAAGTGTGTGGTCAATTGCAAGCATTATGAAGGATAAGTAGTCATGATGTATTGTGGGTCACAAATTTAATGGAACGTCTCGTGAAGGTTTCACCAGATCCAAGCTATTTTCTCATAAAGGCATTACTGAACCTGGTCACAGAGGAAACAGCTGCCGTTAGGGGAGCCTTTTGGGGAACCTACTAGAACACCAGCTAGGTTTCAAGAAGTGATTCTGAAAGCAGCTGTTTTCCAACAGGAAATTAATCTCACTCTGGCAGAAGTTTGTTTGGTTAAACATTTACAAGACTCGACATGAAATGAACACAAAATAAAAATGAGTTGTGGTTTGTTTAGGTCCAGCCTCGAAAGTAGGCAGGTATTGTTTTCTTCATGGTTAATTTTCTCTTGTTTTCAAATTGTATCATTTCACTGGAACATTTTCCTTCCCTGAGGACTGACAAGCAGGCCTAAAATTGACCCTTGATCAATGAACCGGCTTGGTTGAGAAATGTCTATCTTATCTAGTAAAATTGAGCTGCTGGTTTTGTACTTATGCCCTTATGTTTGTGTGTGACCAGGCCGAAAGCTGCCAAGTGTTTGCTTTCAGATGCTCAAAATAACTTTCTTGTACATAGTCCATATTGCGGGATAGACGTTGTATTGTATCATTACAAAAATATGGTTGTCTGAGTATTTGGCCAGAAGACCCTGTAAAACAGCAGAGCGAGGAAGCCTTGGAGTGCGGTTATGGTCTTCTCACGGCTACAAAGTAACTACCGTATTTTGCAGTCTATAAGTTCACGCCTTTGTATAAGTTGCAACCCCCCACCTACTCCCCTATAAACAGCTGTTTTTGGAAGAAAGTTGGTATTTAAGTCACACCTATAAATTTGTATGGTCAGGGTGGTGAAACTGCATGCACGTCGTCAATGCATTGAACGAGGAATATAACCCCTGTGGCACATTTCCACTGTTCAGGCCCATACTTATAAAGAAAAATGCATTTAAGTCGCACTGTTGTACAAAACGCACCAACAAAAATTTAAAAAAACAAACAAACAAATGCAGTTTATACATTGAAAAATTTGGTAATTACTTTTCAGCTCAGACAGCTGTGGTGACCGATTCAGTTGCTTTCGACGAGTAACTCCTGCGACTCTTTTTCCCGCAGTGCATCAACAGCAGCCATGGCAGCGAGGCTCCGTGCATCAAGACAATGAGGGAGCTCGGTACCCTCAACCTCCTCTCCCAGAAGTATGAGGTGAGCTCCACGTGCGTCATTTTCACCATAAGAGAAAGACCCGTGATATTATTGGCCCGGGTCTTTTGGAATTGTATGATGAAAGCGCAATCGCTTTCATTGTACTGCAGAAGCTCGAGCTTTCATTGCTCGAGCTTCTGCAGTGCAGTGCGTACCCGTCGAGCCAAAAGTCACAGATTTGCTGCCAAGCCGAGTTCTTGTTTGGGCGCTCATTTATTTAGGGGTGCTTCTCTTTATAAAGAAGTGGGTACTCTTTTATAGCATTGATCAAAGCCACCGCTAACCGAGGTGTTGGACGGATATGTTGGTTGATTCTGTCGCCGGATGTAGACAAACAGAGGTGCATCACGTCACTTCCGAGGCACCACCAATTGCTTCAGCCGCTGAGTGATTTGGTGACCAGTTCAAAATATCAGTCCTCGAAGCAACTGTCGCTTTTGCTACAAAAAGCTGTCGTGCGACGGTGGCTAGCAAGTGTGAACGTGCCTTTAGAGTGTTGTCACCCTATTCCCCAATTTTCTTGAGGACATGGCCCTTTTGGGGCCTTTCGCAGAGTGGGCACAGTTGTTGATCGTTACGATTAAAAGATTGCGTTCTCCTCAGCTTTAGATATGGTGTTGAAGAGCTCGAGTGACGTCATCTTGCCCCGCCGTGGACTGCTTTATTTGTTTCTGGAAGACAAAAAGGCATTTCTTGTGATTTCATATAAAGCTTCAGACAACTGTCACAAGTGATGTTCAGCAACAAGATGGCTTAAAGGGGCTTTGAAATGGTTTTTCAACTTCTTCCTCACCCCTCTTGCTCAACTCCAAAGCGAAACAAGAAATCACGTGGTCGTGGCACAGTATTTCACCGGATGCAAACGACTCCAGGCTTCCACCGTGTTTTTTTAAGCACACCATGCAGCTTGTCATTTGCAAGTGACAGTAAATGCTGTCACGGAACTGATTGGCCACGAACGCAAATTCAAATATTCGTCGACAAATCGGTCTTTGATGGGTGCATACGTCCGAGCGACGCGGTGCTCGTGTCCAATGCGTGAGCTGGGGTCGGCGGACCTGTTTTGAGTACAGCAGATGTGTCATAGTGAAAAGCGAGAGACCTTTGGACGGAAAGAGGGTCCAAAATAGTCCACTACATTTTCGAATTTTGTGTGCCAAAAAAGCAGGCTTTTGACTTTCCACTGTCTTTTTTTGAACCCACTGAGCAATATACAGTCAGTAAAATTTCAATCTAAAGATCAATTGGTGCGGCCCAAATTTTATTTCGTAGCCCCTTGAAGTGTTGTTACTCCGAAGGCCAGCTCACACATTTGGGCCCATGTGTGACCGAGTATGTTGTGCTCGCTTGTGACCACTTACAAGAGAACAGACTGGTGCCATCTTTCAGCTAGCCCTGGACTTCCGACATGCACATATAATTCTTGTACATTGCTCTTTCACTGTGGGCTGAAGATTATTCTGACAAAGTTATACACAACCATTTCTTATAGATGGCACTTAGGTGCAAAACCTTCAGTCTCATAGATAGGACGTGGATGCAAAACCCTCAGTCTCATGGTACTTGGATGCAAAACGTTCAGTCTCAAGCGCCGTCCAGGTACTTGCGACCGAGTAGGACGGAGAGAGACAAGACCGGTTTTTAATCCTCTTAAGATGTCTTAGAACCAGCTCCACAGCAGCGCACCCGATCCTAAGACGTCGTAAGAGGCTTAAAAACGGATCTTGTCTCTCTCAGTCGTACTCAGTTACAAGTGTGTGAACAAGCCTTCATACATAGCACGTGGATATAGAATTTTCAGTCGTATAGATAGCACTTAGGTGCAAAAGCTTCAGTCTCATAGATAGCACGTGGATGCGTAACCTTCAATCTCATAGATAGCATGTGAATGCAAAACCTTCAGCCTCATAGATAGCATGTGGATGCAAAACCTTCAATCTCATAGATAGTACGTGGATGCAAAACCTTCAGTCTCGTAGATGGCATGTGGATGCAAAACCTTGTCTAGTTATATGCGTGTCGGAACCGTTTTCAAAGCCACCCGATGGGTGGCACCACTGTGACAGTGTGTGTGCCTAAGTATGTCTTCTTGTTGTAGACGGTCACAGCGGTGCAGTGAACCGCTGAAACGCAAATGCGTGAGTCAGCCATAAAGCTTTGGATGACTGGCAACAGTGATTTTAAGCTTAAAGATAGTCAAAATGTCGTTACTTTGAAGCTTAGCTTATTCATTAGCTCTTGGCTGAGGTTTCAGATCTGTTCCTCACCTTGGAGTTTATTTCCAGAGCCTGGACTATGACTTTTGCGAAAATGCGCCTTACATGGACGATATTCATTAGCTCTTGGCTGAGCTTTCAGGTCCGTTCCTCACCTTGGAGTTTATTTTCAGAGCCTGGACTATGACCCTTGCGAAAATGCGCCTTACATGGACGATCAGCGGTCAACCACCTTCAGTGTGAGTGGAGCGAGCGTCACATTCATTCATTCTGTCATTCATTCATTGATGCATCTATTCGTTCATTAGTTTGTTAATACAGAATCTATGTCACGAACGCGATGTCAATAGTTTTGTCGCGTCGCTGTCACCATACCATCATCAACTAAATTGAATGGGCTAACATCCGGCTAAATTCAGCGCCATCTCGCTATCAGCCTTGTGATGTGACATTCCGTTTGTTAAGCCACGCAGGTCGCGTGGCATTGTGTTGTCACGCGACCTGTGGTGCAGTCATGGTGTCGTGTGACATCATAGTGTCGACATTATTAGATCTGGTAACGGTGGGTGTCAAGTCGTGTGTAACGACTTTACATTGTGACACCACGTGATGTCACGCTGCCCAGGTTTGCATACACGTCACTATGCATTCTGTACATCGGACATTTGAGATGTAGGTTAAACGAGCGCGTTGTTGTTATATGTCACGTGCTTATGAACAGCTGATGCCTCAGTGATGATGCACATCATGTGCCTTGCATGAGAAGTGGCAGCAATTCCTACGATGACATGTTTTTCTGCATAATCTGATTTACCTGACGTAATGAAGAACTGTGCTGAAACAAGACAAGACAAAAAAAAAGAGATGTACAAAGTATGCCAGGTGCGGAAGGGCTTCTAAACGTTTCTTTACAAGAAGAAGGAAGACAAAACCTATGTTAGTTAGAAACAGGCACATGCCAACAGTTTCTGCAGTAATCAGCTGCAGGTCAGAACAGGTTTCACCTGAGCCACGAGTTGCCAAGCCACATTTTTATTGCGATAGCATTAAAGGGATGTTGAACCGAAGTCTGGATTCCTCAAAACACGGCGCCAAAAGCTTGCAGCGAGATGCTACACACACCAAAACATCACTCATACAGCGATATCTCAAAAGGATGACTCTATTTTTCAAAAAAAGAAGGCGCATTTGACAGATATGGTTACGTCATGTTTCTCCGAGAAGGAGAGGAAATGGCCTCCCATCTTTTCCGCTTTGCCGTCTTGAGGGGGCGAAGCGAAGAGAGGGGGAAACGAGATATCTTGACGTCACGCGCCTCGTCGGCCTCGTTTAATCTCTACTTCTTTTGCCAAAAATACGGCCGTCCATTCGAGATATCGCCTTACGAGTAGTGTTGCAAGGATTGTAGCATCCCGCCTACAGCTCCTGCATTGTTTTTTCAAATGCAATTTTCGATTCACCATCCCTTTAAAGAGCTTGTGGCGCGCCAGCTTTGTTGCCGTGCCAGAAAAGCTGCTGTGACGCGAAAATCCTGATTGGTCAATAGGGTGTTGACGTCAGTCACATGACCTAGGCTCGTCTGTCTGGAGGAGCAAAAACGGTTTCCATCCATCGAGGAGGAGCGGAAAGTTTCTGTCCGTCGCCGAGTCCGCCCAGTGGCGCTGTGGACTGCCGTAATTGTTCATATGTGGAGAATGCGTACCCCACCACAGGGCCGCTGTAGCTCGCCAAGAGCAAACATGTGCGACGGATGCGGTGCCGTCTACTTGTGCAGGGCGTTCTTCTGAGCTGTCGTCTTCTATGAGTGTAGATGCCGCATCTACTTCTGCTGCTGCTCGGCGAAGGGGTTTGCCTCATAAGACTGAAACCGAGAAGCTGGAGACAAAAGCTAGGCGTGCAGAGGTGATGCACCACAAACGGTCCGAGGATTCGATAACGCTATCGCGTTCCTTTCTTAAAGGCAAAGCTTAAGCGTCCTCCGACTTTTCTTGCTTTTGAAGAAGTAGAAGCGTAAAGGTTTGGGTTTAACCTTTTTATATAATAATATGTATGGCATCACTAGTCATCGAACAGAGCATTGAAGACGCTGTAAATGTGGTTTTTCACTGCATTATTAGTTTGGGTTTTATTGTTGGGGGATGGGGTCTTGAGGCAACGTCACAGACCAGGGAGCTAAACTATGGCAGTGGTTAGATGGCCTAAAAAAATCCATGCAGTGCGCGTATATGCTCCACAGCCAGTTGTAGAGCAAACAAACAAGCCTCCTTTGAGTCGCAGTTCACAAAAGAACTCGCTTCATAGTTACTGTACAGTCATCCATGTTTCATTCATTTTGCCTCTCCTGCAGCAAATCCGCAAGACCAACCAGACACGATGGTTGGTGATCCTCGTCATCGGCATCCTGACGGCCGTCACGGCATGTCTCATCGACATGTGCATAGAGACCATCTGCGACTACAAGTTTGACCTGCTCCAGCACTGTATCCTTTTCTTTATGACGGAGTGGCGTATGTCACCCGACGCAGTTGCCATAAATGCTCAGGTATCAATGTCTCGCGGCGTTTATAAATATGCTAAAAGACCGTTGTCATATCTACAAGGTGGTGGATCAGAGCGGCCTGGATAAACACGCCACTTCACCGAGCACGTTTCAATTTTTCTCAGAAGTCGCGGCTTGCTGGCGTATGTGGGCTTCTGAAGTTTCAGTGTTCCCACTTTCCCGAGTAAGAAGTTAAATGAAAGCCCTAATTTTTCCACAGATCATGTCATTTTTTTTAAATATAAAAGCATTGCCGAAGGTTGCTGTCTTTGTGCAAAGTTCCTCACTGTGTCGAAGAGCAAGAAAGGTTGACAGGAGCCAGGCAGACATCGCAACATCTTTGATGCTCTCCACTGCCTCTGTGACTCCGTCTTGTATCAGTCTATCGTGTAGCCAGTGGAAGGCCTGGAAATTGTCTTCCCGTGCAGTAAAGGCCCGTTCACATACTTGCAGCCGAGTAGGATCGGCTGAGACAAAGACAGGTTTTTAAGCCTCTTGCGACAGCTTAGGACTAGCTCCACAGCAGCACATCCTCTCCTAAGCCTTCACAAGAGGCTTAAAAACTGGTCTTGTCTCAGCCGGTCCTACTCACTTGCAAGTGTGTGAATGGGCCTTAAGGCTGTTTAATCTCAATTGGCTCTTCCAACATAAATTTTGCCTTTCTAAACCTCCCAAATTGTTACTTCTTTTTTTTTAGGGCCGCATTTTTTTAAGGAACGTTTGGCATGACGAAAAACTGTCAAGTTGCAAAAGCCGTTGCAGAAAATCGTCGCTCTCCATCCAAATTTTGTGGATTTATGTTTCACTAAATTTGGCTGACAGTGTTCACGCGATGACGGTTGTAAAGTGGCACCAGGAGTTCACATCACATGACTTGGTCGCGGTGTTGGCCACGGTGCCATATGCGACATGTCACGTCTCCATTACATAACGCTATGTTCATGTCATGCTAAACCTAGCGAAGCTCAAAACACAATGCTTGTCCTGCACTCCCGACTTTATCCGTAAAACTAACATACATTAAAAATGCATTATCATCATTGTTATTAGTGGTAGCAATACTACATTTGGATCTTTGCCTGTCAGTGGCCCTGCAAGCTGGAGCAAAGTGCATCGCACGCGGTGACAGTTGGGATGCCCAAGTTCTCCGCTCTGCTCAAGGTGTTTGTCTGGCGTCTGGCATTGCCTTCCTGAGCTCAACGCAGGGATGAACCAGTGCATCCGAGACGACTGCATCATCGTTCCCTACCTGGCCTGGGTTGGCATGAACGCGGGGGCGGTCCTTGCTGGCTCCGCGCTGGTTGCGTACGTCGCCGTGAGTGCTCCCCGTCATTGCCTTTGCTCCGTCTGCTGGACAGTCTTTGTCAGTGTTATACTACCGTAATATCCCCAGTCATCACCCATCCCCGAGTCATCGCTCACCCCACTTTTATGGCGAATATCGATTTCCAAAAAAACAAGTGATTGCCCACCCCTACAAATACCCCGACGCAGACTCCGCGATCCGCGAACATTCATTCTATCCGAATGATACAGCCACAGACCTTATAGTTTGAGGATGGTCGTGACAAGGTAAAACTTGGTTTGGATTGGGTTTTTATGCCGCAAGGGCTGCTAAGGCCAAAGAGCGCCAAAGAAGGACAAAGTAAAATGAAGGACGGAAACACACTTCTCTTTGTTTACGCATTTTCTCCCCGATTTCCGCGACCCTGGAGTCGTAGTACAGTTATGCCTCTTTGTAAAGAAATCGCTTTTTTCAAATTATCACTTTTATCGAAGTTCAACGTGGTTCCGACCGAAAGGCACGCACTTTTAACCGGATTATTCTAAGTGTATCGGTGGCTGAACACGCTCATTACAAAGGCCAAGGTGCCGAAAGCATGCAAGCACACATGGAGGCCCCCTTCCCCATTGAGGCAAATTGGGGAAAAGGAGTAAATGGGTGACGGAGGGCAGAGCGTGCAGAGCTGGCAGAGCACTGCTTCTGATGCCAATGCGCCTGCGCTGGGACGTGGGCAGGGAGCAGCGTAAACGTTTTGACGCCACTCTCGGCCCCTGCAGCCGACGCTGCCCGACTCCTATCGCAATCGGGTCAAGGGGAGTGATGGAGCCCAGCGGAGATCATCTTCTCGGAAGTCCCCGACGCGTACACCTGCGCGGGTGTGCTTGCGGTGTATTACATGCACACGTGCGTCGTATGGGAGATTGGGAGTGTTTACCGAAAGCCGCTTAAGGGAGGAGGTGGGGAATAAATATGAAATTTCTTATTTCTAGAGAGATCTGAACGAAATTTACAGAATGTGTTTATAGCACAGACATAAGAGTAACTGCAAAGTTTCATAGAGCTGTGCACATTATTTCTCAAGTTACAAATATTTATCAAAATCGTCCATATGCATTCCTTATCCCAGGTCTGGAGAATTTGAAAAAGGTAGTAGTGGCGTAATATTTGTTATGATGACCCCTGGATACATTCCCCAGGGCATAACAGAGCCCTTTTTTTAAATTTCATTGTTGAAAAATTTTAACGCAACTTTGAATTTTGTGTAGTCAATGAAACCCACATTCACCAAATTTCATTTTTTTATTATAAATTTTTAGTACAGTTTTCTAAAAAAAGGGCTCTGTTATGCCCTCACAAAGTTATTAGAGAACAGAATAAAAAAGACAGCACAAAAATCCATTCATCAGTTCCTGAGATATCGCTGGGACAAGCAGCCACGACAGTGAAAAAATCCATTCTGAGAAAACAGCACTTGAAAGTTGCACGCAGATTTTCAGCTTTAGAATGACCCTGCAGAATAGTCAGAAGTGTTCTTGCGCCCTTTCTTCTTGTTCCGCCTTTCCAAATTCTCTTGATGTCGTTTGCTGGCCTTATGCAGACGTAGGGCATCTTTCTCGACAGCTCGTTGGAGGGCCAGATGGGTCGGCTGAAGTCCCGCTGCAACCGATATTTCTGCAGTTGCCTTGTAGCAGCCGGCGTTGAACCTCAACACCGCTTCATGCAGTGCAGTTTGCTGGCATAGCTCCAAGTTTGGCTTGAGCAATATCACAATGTCTAGCTTCTGCTTCGATCTCCTCACGTGTCAGGAAATGCGTCCGCAGTTGGGTGCTAGAAGACGCGCTCCTACTTGTCGCGGCAGGCGGAAGACGGGCGCTGGGACCCGCGATCTCGGGAGGAACCACAACGGTCGGCATGCTCGGTACTCCAGGCGTGAGCGGGACGATGCGTTCTTCCTCGACGACAGCCGATGGCACAGAAAATCCATCACTGAAAGTGTTGACGCGATCATCATTGACGGCACGCCGTGCAGAAACTTCCAACTTCGCCATCCGCACTAACTTCATGGACCGCTTCCGCGCGCCAAACGCGTGCACCGTCTTGTACTTCAAACCCCGCATCGTGTGCGACCACGAAACAGACGGGCACGCTACACGAAACTACTCAAAGAAAGTTCGGAAAACGATCGTAAAGATGGCGAAAAACGAAGTGGAGCTGACAAAGCAAGAGCGCGTGCAAGCATACCACTACCAAAAGCAGACGACGCAAGCGGCAACAGCAGGAGAAACGGAGAAGGAGAGCGCTCCGCGCGCGGAGAAATCGCGTCCCAGCCAATAGCAGTCGCGCGTTCCCCCGCACGCTCCTCGAGCGCGCGCTCTGTCCAATCGCGTTCTTGCGATTGCGACATGGAAGAACGGCGACCACGCCGTGACTACGCAGCCGACGCCATTTTGGGAGCTGGCAAAAAAAAGAGAAAGAATTCACGTTCAAAACAAGACTAAGATGGCGGCCGTCGGCCCAACGCGTCGAAAATGGCGAGCGCGCGAAGTTGGGGTTGATTTTGACGTTTGACCGTCACTTGGATGCTATTCAGGCCTCGTAAATAATTGTTTTTAAATATTTCCCCGTTGTATTTGGTGCTGATAATTACAGAGAAGGTAGTTTATGAGATATAGAACCGAAAAGTAAGGTTTTCTAAAAATCGACTTTTTCGCGATTTTCCGGTTTTCAAAGCCCGCGTCCCCCCTTAAATCTGCAAAGTTGACAATTATGGCCGGCCCAAGTCCGAAACCGCCAAAGAATTCAGTATTCCGGTTCGACACTGTCCACCATTTTGCAGAACAAGGAAGGCATATTGGATTGGTTTGAGAAGATCCTCATGCAGAAGAAAGTATGCCCGTGACTCGAAGATGAAAGTTCGCCAACTGTTTCGCGCACGTCGGATTTTCTGTTGCGAGCATGCTTGCCGAGCCGGCGCACAATTTCTATAGCAGTAACAATCTCTACAGGAGTGTGTGAAAACATGTTGGCAAAGCCACTAAGGATAACTTTGATTCGTTCGCGCTTGTCGATGCGGACGTTCCCGCTGTTGCTCCTGCGACGGATGCTGCGATGGTAGATCTTGCGTGCAGCCAGGGTAAACACTAAGCGACGTTAGGGAGGCACTTGGGAAACGCCGTCGACTTCAGAGACGCGAAACGTCCTACGGCTGCTCCGAAACGAAGTGTAGTGCAGCAGCAGTGACAGTGTTCTTGCAATGCCTGGAGCAGTTTGAGGAGAACTGATGCCTGAATGAAATTATTGGCAAACTCCATTGAACTATTTTTTTACTCGGTAAAGCTGCCGCAAAATATTGGGTTGTTTGATTAAATATACGGTCGGAGTGTTCCGCAGTGTTCCCGTCCACCTTCAAGGCTGCTGCCACTGTTCTACTCTATTGCTTTTATCGCATTACCGCTTATATCAAACTTTTTTTCTGTCCCGTTGACTTCGTTATAACGAGGGATTACTGTACATGCATGCGAGGGGAAAACAATGTAGGTAACAAAAAATGTGCTCACGAAAAAGTTATTTCGGACAAAAAAACAGTTGAAAAAAATACCACAAGCAGTAACCCAGTCAGGGATGACGAGGTCAGCAAACGCCCCACATCCTGGAACGTAACCGTGGAGTTTAAGGTCAAGGTTCGTCTCCACCGAAGTCGTTCATCGCGCGTATGCAAACAACGGGCTTTGCGATAGTAAGACATTCTTTCATGAGCATTTCTGGCAAAAACCAATGAAACTAATTCGAGTTGAGTTTAATGCCTTGTTTGCAGCTGTGCTAGATACATACAGAAAAACTGGCATTTTTTTAGTTTCTTCTAAACTTTTTGTGCTTTTTATTTATGAATTTCAGGGGGATGGGCGATGACTTAGGATATTATGGTAGAGTCGCTTCCAAAGTGAGAACGGCGGGTAAGAATCCTCCGAACGCCTGGCCTTCGTCGCACGCTTCATGCCTTCAGGCGTGCTTTAGTCGCGTAAAAGCGCTCGAGGTGCATAAGACACTGATTCCATTTTTACCTGGGCAGTTAATATAGATAATTTCAGTTGCAGAACTTCCTATAAACACTGTTCAATGGACAGCCATTTCAGTTGTGGAACTTCCCATAAACGCTGTGCAACGAACAGCTTTTGAAATGTTGTCCGATTTTCGGCGGCGGTGGCGCCACTAGCGCATTCACATGCACATGCAAAGGAAAAAAAACTTTTTTTTTTTTTTCAAACAGCCTAATGGAGAAGGAATGTCATAAAACAAATCTGTAGTTTGCGCTTTCGGAAGACTGCGGAAAAGTGGCCGCTACGGTCACGTGACTGGCTGCTATGGTCACGGGATGCTTGCGTTTCTTCGGTAGCTTCATATGTGCTCTAAAAGTTGTTTATTAATCTTTGTTTGAAGTGTAACAGGAAGCGAAGATTAATATGTAACTTTTAGTGCTTGAAGGAAGCTCCTGAAAGAGTGCAAGCACCACGTGATAGATCTGTGTGCCGGTCAGAAATTGACCGCGGCGGCGCGCCAGAGTGTTCCATTTTTGCGGCAGCAATGGGGAGAAACGCATTCTACCGGTGACACACCACGCTCATCGTGCGGCGGCGGCGTGACTTTGCAGCAACGGCGGCGCAGCTTGGCGGTGCGCAGGTGTACGACGTGAACAGTGGTGGTTTCTTCGGGCACCAACTACAAATTTGTTTATATCCATAAAATTTAAAAAAAATTTTCTTTATTGTAAATTAGTTTTATGACATTCTTTTTCTATCTAGGCTGTTTAAAAAAAAATTGTTTTTTCCTTTGCATATGTTCCTTGAGTGCACCTTGTCTGCTAGCTGCGAGTTTTGGAAAAAAGTAAAGGCTGCATGAATATTCTAATTTCTAATTGGAATTGAATAATAGTTGCCCGAATAACTCTTTTCGACTTTCGGATTCCCTGTATTCGAGTTTTTGAATAATTCTAGACTTTGAATATTAGTACTGCTGGTGAGAATTCGGGTTGATTTGGGAACATCATTTATACGGTGACATAGGCCTCGCAGACCTCTGCTCTAAATCGAGCCTGGATTGAGAAGCGTAGACTGTCAATTCGTTTTGAAGTGGTTTGGCTCTCATATTCCTCAAACAAGGCGGCCGGTCGATTGAGGAAGCAAAGGAAGAGCTTTGAACGTTGGTTTACGTCCTATCCTTGCAGCCCGTGGCGGCGGCCAGTGGCATTCCTGTGATCAAGTGCTACCTGAACGGTGTCAAGGTGCCCGAGGTGGTCCGTTTCAAGACCCTGCTGGTCAAGGCGGTCGGCGTGGTGCTCTCTGTCGTCGGAGGACTGGCCGTCGGAAAGGTGTGTGCGTTAATCGCGGCGCGGGCCTAGTTTTCGTGGGCCAACCCTGCTTGGGCCCGCTGACCCTAAGCCTCACCCGACCCGGGCTTTGACTGGAGCTTTCACTTCAGCCGAGGTTCTCTGGTCCCCCCCCCACTTCTAGGAAGGACCAATGATCCACTGTGGATCTGTGATAGCGGCCGGCGTGTCGCAAGGAAAGAGCACAACATTCCGAAAGGACCTGAGGGTGAGTGGATATTTGCCGGGAGCATGGTGCCTGGAATGCGTCTCGACTGCCGCGTTTACCGGGTCCTCGATTTTGGGGGCTCGATTTCCGCACGACGACTTCGCACGTCCCGCCATAACACCAGTGGGGGCGCATTAGCGGAGGTGGACTTGGCAGGTGCCTATTCTGCTCTAGGTTGCCCTCCAGTTTGACAGTCCGCGAAAGCTTCGGCAGTGAGGGTCGGGACACTGCGACGACAGCGGCCCTCACGTTCGCTCCTCTTTTTCGCCGTAACTTCTACGACAAACTGCCGGAATAGTGACGTCCAACACCGTGAGATGCCAGCTACTGCAGCACACAGTTAAAACTCTAAGCTGAGGGAAGTTGCGAATAACTTCGTTAAGTTGAAAATGGCTTTTTCGTGCTAATTCAATAAGTTTTGTTTTAATCTGACGGCATTCGGAGTGCTACCAGTTTGGCGAAGTGCCCACGTGCCAAAAACGTGATTTACATGCGTATGAATTTAGTCTGCGAAGACGATCTGCACCGCTAGTGCATTAAGGGAACTTTGGAACTCTTATGGGAACAGAATAAGGTTCTTTCCAGCAACAAGATCCGTATCCCGTCACAAACCGCGAAAGTTGGCTTGGGCTCGCATTGAGGTCTGCATTCCCCACCAGAAACGAGATAAAAGTGCACTTTTAATCCAAGCCCGAATTAAGTTTTCTTCAAATATGAGTTTTTTTGTTTTGTATTATCACTTTTTACTGCGTTGCATTTTTATTTATTTACGAACCCCAGCGTACAGCATGTATTCAAAACATTCAATCATGCGATGACTGCATGCACACTCGTAGATAACAAGACCCGTAAATGTCAAATAAGAAAGACCTCCCTGCCGTCTCTCTCCTGGTGGTGTCCTACTATTCATATCCAGTGTGCCCGTCGTCAGGCATAACAAAAGGTCGAACTACCACCGAATGCTATCCATAGGCCATTTAACTCCATCATTGCCATCTGTTGCATGTTACATGAATGAGATGCCATGAAACAAATATTATTGACTAAAAACCCTGAGTGGAAAGTTAATTTTTCGGTAAAAACTATGCGACAGTTGCGCAGTCTCGTTGCTGGCACACCGGCTACATATTTCGGTGCAGTCTAAACAAAATACCGTATTTACTCGCACAATGAACGCACTCGCGTAATGAACGCACCCCCCAAGGCGGATCTAAAAATTTTGACTTTTTTTTCACTCGCGTAATAAACGCACCCCCAACTCCGACGTCAAGATTTTGACTCCCTCCCCCCACGCGCGCGAAATGAACGCACTTTTTTTATCCTGGTGCAGCGAGGTCGCGAATGCATGGGCAGCGTGGGCGAACAAAACGCCTTGCAAAAGGCGTTAAAAAAATTCGCAAAGATCCAACGGAAGCAAGAAAAAAAACATGGAGAGGAGCTTTTTTTTTTTTGGACAGCGCTGTCTGGGCTTTGGGTTCGCGCGCCGCCGCGCGCAAGGAGGTAAGAAAGAGAAGCGCTCTAGGCGAACGAAACAGCTTGCGAAAAGCGGCAAAAAGAAAAAAAAAAAAAAATAACGGAACTAAAAAACAAAAAAACAAAACAAAGAGGAGCTTTTTTTTTTTTCCCGCAGCACGTTTTGGTTACTGGGGGGGTCGCGCGCCGCGCGCAAGGAGGAAGAAAGAGGAGCGGAGAAGCATTGCGAAAGGCGGCAAAAAGAAAAGAAAAAAAAAAAAACCCACGGAACTGAGAAAAAAAAAAGAGCTTTTTTTTTTTGCATAGCGCAGTTTGGTAACGTGGAGGGGGGGGGGGGTCTTGCGTCGCGCGCCGCGCGCAAGGAGATAAGAAAGATAAGCGGAGAGCCCTCGATTAAGCAACGCCTAAGCAAACAAAACAGCTTGCGAAAGGTGGCAAAAAAAAAACCCCAAGGAACTAAAAAAAAAAAAAACAAAGAGGAGTTGTTTTTTTTTTTTTTGCGCAGCTTAGTTTGGCTACAGGGTCCGGCGCAGCGCGCATAGAGATAAGAAGTTACTTCGATTTTTCAAAATAAAAGGTCCGTTCATGTTCATTATGCGAGTAAATAGGGACGCAAAAATTTTACTTCGCGTAATGAACGCCCCCCCCCCCCCCCCCTCAACTTTGCCTCGATTTTTCGGAAAAAAAAGTGTGTTCATTCTGCGAGTAAATACAATACATTTGTAATTACCTCTTTTTGGACTCATTTTTGTTTTCCATGAATTCCTTGTTAGATTGGGTTGACAGTCAAATTTATTCTAATATTTTGAGTCCATAAAAGCATTGAGCCCTCTGGGAACCTACGGAGGGATTAGAATCTGTTCGTTAAACCAGGAATATCGTAGTAAAATGGGTTTTGTAAAATCGATTTTCGATTGTGATTTGTTGCCACTTCCTGACCACTTTCAAAGAATGGTCAGGGAAGGATGCTGATTGCGCCAGCCGAAGACGCATTTCAGGCGCTCTAGTGAGATTGCACGCAGTCGCTGAGCAGTGTCCTGGGTACCACGTATTTCTGCAGGTCTTCAAAGACTTCCGCGAGGATCACGAAAAACGAGATTTCGTGTCTGCCGGCGCGGCCGCGGGTGTGGCTGCTGCTTTTGGAGCTCCCGTAGGTTAGTTTTGCACTCAGTATTTCTTTTTTTTACTTCATTCATAGGATTTGCAGTGTTTTATTATCTTTATTTCTTCTTTTATTGTTTTTTTTACACGAAATAGCTCTTTATTTCATTAATTCATTTTGTTTCCCCGATGAGAATCTTTGCTGCATCAGCGTTTTCACTATATCCGTGCTTGTACACCGGCCTCACTAGCTTTCTGCAATTTTCGTTCACGACGAAGAAAGCGTGTGGTAAGTTTTGATTCTGGTACAGGGCACAGGTGTTCACAGAGGGATAGATATTTATTTATTTATTTCATACTGCAAGCCTTAATAGTTTAGGCACTACGCCATGAAAAATGTAGCACGCACATCAGGCAACAGAAAGCAGCACCAAGAAATAACTAAAATACAAATTAAAAAAAAAATGTTTCTACCTGTTGCTTCACGTTAACTGACTGTGCAAGCCGGAAAAAAAAAAGATAGGCATCGCAGTTGTCAAATTTCAACTCGATGGATGTAGTAAAGGCATTTTTTGTGAATCGACTCAACACTGAACGGCATCACTTCTTTTTATACGAAACATTTGCTTTGCATGCAGGCGGAGTCCTGTTCAGCTTGGAGGAAGGGGCGAGTTTCTGGAACCAGTCTTTGACATGGAGGATTGTGAGTGTTCTCGGTGGTCTAAAGCGGGTGCAGACTTATTTTACATTCTAGAGAAAAATGAGGTCTAGATCTTTTGAAAAACAAGGATGTGTCCACCCTTCTTTTTTTCGTTTTTATACTTCAAGTGTTCTGTAAGTGTTGTGTTGTGCTGAAGCCTGCATGAAGTAAAAGGCCCTTGTTGAGGGTTTTTGTTCGCCTTTTCTTCCTGCCACCCTACCAGATGGCTAATAAAAAAACATGAAAAAAAAACAATGTAATGGGTTTAGACTATGTAAGGTCGGTCTGCCTTTGAGGTATGGCGACACTAGAGTACGCTGTAGACGTCCTCTCTTAATAGCAGCCATTAAATCATTCTGTTTCGATGCTGACCTATCTCTGCTCTCGCGTCTCTGCCCCCTTGTCATGGCGCAGTTCTTCTGCTCCACCATCTCTGCATTTTCGTTGAGTATGATCCTGAGCGCATTCCACGGCCATGCCGGAGAGCTGTCCTTCTCCGGCCTGGTCAACTTTGGGGAGTTTGAGGTGAGCCTCTTTTGTCTTTTCTTTTGTCTGGTTCAGTTTAAAACCCCTGCCCCTCGTTTCAAAAATTGAAACTTTCTTTTTCTGCCAATTACCATTTACTGCTGGTTTGTCTTCTTTTTAAACAGCATGAATTGCATTTGTGGCCTGTAGATGGACTTCCTGAAGGCTGGAAAGTGATGGAAGTTTATGATTTATCTTTGTTGCTTAAAAAACATAGCAAAGTTTAAAAAAAAAAATTTGAACAGCCTGGATGGAAAAAGGATGTCCTACAATGAATTTACAACGAAAAGAAAAAAATGTTTAGAGCTATATTTACGGCGCGAAACAAATTCGTGGTTGGCGCCCGTGGGAACCCGCATAAAATTGTCTACTAGAGTCACGTGACTGGCCACTATAGTGACATGGTGCTTACGCTCTTTTGTGAGGTTCCTATGGTCTCTAAAAGTTACTTATTAAGGCGAAAGCCTGATATGTCTTATCGTTCAGTCGACGTTCAAAGTCCTTCAGCGAAAACACGCCGGCAATACAAAAGGTACCTAAACGAAAGGTATTAATGAAATGGCACCAGAAGTGCGTCGTCAGAGAGCGCGCTGTCTTCGGAGGCTTGCTATCACTGGGATCACAGCCGATGCCACGATCCGAGTGAGCCAATGAAACTGCGCCAAAAGTTAGAGAGCGTGCTGTCTTCGGAGGTTCGTTATCACGTTTACATCGGCGCTTGGGCTATTGCCTTTAAGTCGTCTTAGGGATAACGTAAGAGACCCTGTGAATTCTTAATCTTCGTTTTAAGTGCAATAAAGAAGCGAAGACTAGTAAGTCATTTTTATCTTTATGTCACGGGAATGGATACTGCAGGCTGCGAATGCAGCAGAATCTCATTTCACAGTGCAACATACACACGGGAACAACTTCCGTGTTATGGGAGCCGATATCGCGCGCACAAATCGCGGACAAAAACGCAGGAACCCGCTATGAACTCACTTGCCAGACCTGCCGGCACAGCAAATAGGCCTTTTCCGCAAATGTTGGGTGCCATCTATCGGCAAGCAGCAGAGGCGTTTTTGATGGCCTGCCTTGCTTACGGTTCTGTCCTCTCCAAGCTATGTTAGCTGTCTGAATACGGTCGGGAAATGCGCTCACTGCTCAGCGTTTGTTTTTCCTCTATCCAACACAATTGACGAGCAGATTTGTTTTCAATTAATGCGTTAACTACGAACGACTTCGTCCGTTTGTACATTTTTTTTCCTAATGAATGGACGACTAACTTCGCCGTGGCGCCCGTTTGACTGACGACACAGTTGAAGCTCTCTTCGACCTATGAGAAAGTACAAACGGTTACATTAAACTAGGATTAATGTCATATGCAGTACTGGCAGTAAATTCAGAAGACATTCGAGACCAAGTTACAGCTAAGGAAAGCCTTTTTTTTTTAATTGCAAGCTATTTCTTTAATTTACTCAAAACGTTTTATTGGCAAGGTGTATTCTCATACAGTAGGCTCGCGATAATTCAAACTCTGATATTTCGTACTTCCGGTTAATTCAAACAGATCTGAAAATTTTGGTTGTCCCGCTATGTTTTTAATGTATTTATAAGTCGCTTAATTCGGACGGCGTTTTCGCTTAATTCATACTTTTTTGTTCTCGCGGCCCCGTTGAGTGCACTTCTTTCCGAGCACCGGTGCTCCGCGGAGAAGCAATACCCGCAGAGCTTGTTTTTGCGAGTGTTGCTTCTCCGCAGTGCACCGGTGCTCGGAAAGAAGCGCACTCAACGGGGCTCAAGCAGGCACAAATTAGCGGAAAACGGCATTCACATTATGTTCTTCAAGACTAGCAATGATGACCAAGACGACATATAGGATGAGGAACAGCTCACTGGCATCATGCTTTCTGGCCTTGAAGCACATAATGTGAACGCCGAGCTGGCGGAATATGCTAGTCTTGACGACGATGTGTGTGTGAGTGAAGAAGTGAGAGTGAAGATGATGATGAAGAAAGGGATGACCCTCTACTAACTGTCACAGCTGCAGAGGCCTTTGAGCACATCGCTCGGCTCCGAAAGTTTCTGTCTGCAAAGGAAGAGTCCCGTAAAGAGCTACTTGCATTGGCTGGTATTGAAAATTTTGTTTTGAGATCTCATGTACTGACTAAACAGTCCACAATTGACAACGTTTTTGCTGGATGAATAAACTTAACGTTGCAGTTCTTTCACCAATGTGTTATGCCTGTACTTGCTTATAAATAGGCTTGGGTAGAGGAAACTGGCAAAAATCTGCTTTGTATGTGTAGCTATCCATGTAACAAATCTTAATGTTGTCTAGTATCATATTTAGATGAATTTTTGATAATTCAAACTTCTGGTTATTCAAACTAAAATCTGTGACTTCCTGGAGTTTGAATTAATGAGGGTCTACTGTAATTGTGAAAGCTTACTCTAAACCGTCCGAAAAACACCGCCGCCTGATCGTACCAATGTAATTCTCATCAAAGGTGTATTTCACTGGTGGATTTCACCTTGTGAAATTTCAACGCGTAGCTCCATTTCTATTATAAAATGAGATCAACAAACTTGGCCGGGTCAACGGCGGACTTGTTCAGCGACTATACTAAATGTTGTTTGCGAGCGCCGCTGACCTTGGCGAGTATGTTGGTCTCTTTTTTTACTAGAAAAAAGCACCACTTTGAAATTTCACAAGATTGAATTCACCACTAAGATATATGTTTAATAAATACCTAAGATTATTTGGTGCAGCCACCAATTTCTGAGCGAGCCTCGTCATTGATGTCACCCCACTTTAGGCTACAGGTGTGATTGTAGGTTCTGAAGAAAAAAACAAAATCGCCCACACCTGTTTTATTTTTTTTATTTTTAGTTTAGCGCCTGTAGACAATGTTGCAAACTTATTTTTTGTTTACTCGAGACTTACACGAGGACAACATGTCAGGATGATTGTTTCCTCTTTCTTGTTTAACCGCAAGACCAGCAGATGCGGTCGTGGTAGCGATAGATCTGCTCCCATTTCACTTTCTGGGCGTGCACGTAGCAACAAACGGTGCAGCATAGCCACTTTACCTTAATTTTTTATAAATATTTGAAAACTGTAGGTTATTCCAATGTTTGCAACAACCAAAAAGCAGACAGGCAGTTTGTGTAGCAACGCGAGACCGTCACATTGGTAAACAAAAAAGTGTGCCAGTCAAACGCACTATCCCAGAAACGCCAACTCCGAGGCGCTCGCTCTGCGTGGCCCATAAGTGACACGACAGCATACCTAACCAATCTGCTGACTTGTATCCACATACAAATAAAAAATGAAGGAACACAAACATGAATTTTCCTTGAAGTGGCAACTGCAAACGCGGGAGTGCTTTGAAGGCTGCCTTTACGAGCCGTCCGCATTGTATCACTGGATTGCCCGAATCCGGAGCTGCCGCTTCGTCGAGTGCAGGCTAGATAGAAGGATACTCAAAGAAGCTTAAACTGCGACGACACTTGCTGTCGTTGCTGCAGCCAACAACGAAACAGCGCTAGGGCCTGTCGGAGAGCTTCGAAACGCGCGACCACCGCTGCCTCCTGCAGCCCCGAGCCGGACGTACCACGCCACCAAAAATGGCGAACTCCTGTCTGCTGCTGCCGCGCATGCGCCGTGGAAACCCTGGAAAAGGCCCATTGTGCTGTTGATGCGATTCCCGTCGGGCATCGCGTGTTGCCGACGGTAATTGGGGCTTAGAACTATGCTTAGAAGTGGACAAGTGGAAAGTTTGATACTGCCGCGCGCCAAGTAGGCAGCGCAGCCGTAGCCTAACGGTTATCGCGCTTGCCTCCCACGCGAAGGGCCAGGGTTCGATTCCTGGCCGCGGCTATGCATTTTTGTTAACACTGTAATGTGATGTTCTGGCGAAATCGAGAACCGTCTAGCTGATTCGAGGTCAGAATGTTCTACTCGTCGAACCTTCTACGTCGAATGCTCCAGAAGCCAACGTGTGTACAAAAGCGGCTCCGCGGGCAAGCCGGAGCCAGTTTTCGCCTAGCGTTCGACTCTGCTGCTACGCCGACTTCGACGCCCGCGACGCTCCGTTATTATCTTTTGTACCCTTTTATTTTTGGCACAAGTTCGCCACATTAAACGTTTATTTCTTTCTGTTTATTTATTGTCTATTTGTCACCACCCGTGACATTTTGGTGGAGGTGCGGGGTACCGCATGCCCGTGCAGCGTTCCCCTCCAAGAGCCCGCAGTGCAAGTCCAGTTCGAAGCCCAGTGAGGAGAAAAGTCCCCGCGGAACCCGAAACTCGGACCAGTCGCCGCACCCAAGGACTACACCCGGAATACGGATTTCTGCCACCCAGGACCAAGCAGCCAACGAAGCCGACGATGGACGGCCAGCAGTCACAGACCCCGGCCGCTCCTGCCTTCATCTACCTGCCAGTCGCACCCCGGACTCCGACGCCATTCCACGGGGACGCCCACGAAGACGTCGAGGACTGGCTTCAACAGTACGAGCGGGTGGCCCAGCACAACCGATGGACGGAGGACCAGCGCCTGCAGAACCTTTACTTCGCGCTCGAAGGAACGGCCAGGCACTGGTTCGAGAATCGGGAGACATCATTGATCTCGTGGACCGCCTGCAAGCATGAGTTGAGGCGAACTTTCACTAACCAGTATCGACGGGAGAGGGCCGAGGACCTTCTTCGAATGAGAACCCAGGGCGCAAACGAGACCATCACCAGTTTCGTCGAGGATGTCCTGCGCCTGGTCACTCGCGCCGACCCTCAAGCCACCGACAAAAAGAAGTTGCGGATCCTGATGCGAGGCGTACGAGATGACATCTTCGGAGGCCTCGTCCGCAACTCGCCGACCACCGTCGAAACGTTTGTAACAGAGGCGACCAACATTGAACGGGCCCTGCAAGCACGAGCCGCTCACTTCCATCGAGCTCCTGCCGTCGCTGCACCCACGCCGTCAAGCTGCGCCCTCAGCCCCAATATTCCGGGGATCCGA